ATAATTATTTTATTATTTAATTAATACATATTTTAAGGAGTGGACTCATTTTAAGGAGTGTACTCATTTTAAGGAGTGTACTCATTGGATCCTCCCCCTATATATATATATTATAAATAATAAATTAGATTATATATTAGAATTAAGGATTAAGGTATGGGATAAGAATATGAGTATGATTTGGGAAATCCAAAATATATCTTTTTTTCACTTAAATCCTATCCTTCTCCCGTCACCTCACCCATCTCTTTCCTTTATTCTTTTCCTTTTATTTTCTTTTTTCTTCCCTTTTTTTTATTTTATATATATATTTTTTTTTCATAACTCTTCCTCTTTTTCATTTTTTTTCCTCCTCTTTTTTTCCTTTCTTCTTCTTCTTCTTCTCACGGAGAGACCCACCCCAAAATAAATCTCTTAACTCTTCTCCCAATTTCTTATCAATGTCCAGATAATTTCTTAAAAACTCTTATTTACCCTTTTATTCCCTATTCTAATTTCTTTCTCACTCCCTAGACCTTTACAACCGGCGACGGCTTCAAGTGAAGAGCGCCAGAGTGGTGGCGACCGGAGGGACTCTGTTATGGTCGACGGTGTTTGCTGAAAGCTCCACGACTGCCCAGTGACTGGTAATGGAGGCGAGGTTTAGCGGCGACAGTCAAGGGACCCGACTAAGGCTAAGAAGGTCGGCGATTAGCAGCTGATGAAGTTTGGTGTTGCTCTAGTGTGCGGTTCTGGACTTTTGCGAGGGTCCAATCTTTCCCAATTGAACGACGACAGAGTGCGAGTGCGTTTCGGCTGATTCGAATCAACTCGGGTTTTGTTCAGGTTTGCGTACCGTTTCGACAGAGGTTAAATAAAATGTATTGGAGATTTAAAAATGTGGTGTTTTAATGATGATGAATTAGATGGCTACGTGAAAAACTAAGGAAAATGAATATCAAATTTTTATTTTACCTTCTGAAACTTGCAGTTGACGAAGGTTGCATGCGGTTTCTATAATTTAAATCATTTTAAAAAATTCAGAAAATTTCAAAACAAATCTCTTCCTAAAAAAGAGTTAAAATAGGGGTGTATACTAATAAGTTGAATTTTGTTTTTTAATTAACCAAATCTTTTCCTAAAAAAAGAGGAATTCAAAAAAAGTTTCCAGAAAAGGTAATTTTTGAAATAATTGAGGGGGAAAAAACTTATCAAAAATTGTATTTTTTCTTAACTCTATTCTGTAGTAATAGATAGACAAATTTCTACCTTCCAAAAAACAAAATAATAAAAAAAATCCATTTCTCAACTCTAAAAGAAATATCCCAACAAATAATCCGAGAAAAATGAAAAAAAAAAAGAGAGATAATAAAATGAGTACCTCACCTGTCTGATTGCTCTGTCGAAAATACTACACAAATATATGGTGTAGGTATACAATAATGGTCACTTGTTGGAAGGGTAAAAAAGAGTAGGAACAAAGGTACATGAGTCTCAAATTAAAAAAAACATAAGGGTGATTGAAGGATAATTGATAATTTTAATGCTTCATTTACTTATTTGCCCTTTAAATAAACTATGTAATTTAATTTTTGTGTACATGATCTTTTTATCCTTTTTTTTACCACTTCATCTCCTACATAATAATAATCGCTAATGGTGTTTTTTTAACCATTTTTTTTTTCAAATCTTAATTTTTGTTTTATTTTTAAATTTTTTTGGTGATCTTTAGTTTGTTTACTTGACTACATTAGTTAAATTTAGTTACATGATCCGCTTTTTTTTTTTTTTTTTTT